ATTTGCAATTATTGTACAACATTGGAACATCATGCAAAAAGTAACTTTTCCTATGCATCGATACCATTTACGACCAAGTCCTGACACTGGCCACTGATGTGATTTTTCATCAATCCCCTGCTAAAAATTCAGCTTTTTCCTAGCCTAAGCAGCAACTAGTGGTTGTGACATTCAACTAAATAGACATGAGACTATGACTCTTTAGGGATGAAATACCCTAGAACCAAACAAACATCAAATCCCTATGTTCAAAAGATGACAATGAATATCATCGTGTTTTGACAGACCTGCCCAGCATGAATCACAGAAAGGATGACCACAAGCAGCAGTACGCAGTCTATCACAAGGATAGGATTCAAAGCAAATTCCACAAGTCATCTGCCAAACAATAAGGTATGTCAGAAAGAAACATATAGAAGGCAGAAAAAAGAGTGCATAAACAAACATTCTTAAGAAAATGCCAAAACTATCAACAGACTTACTTCTCTCCCATCTGGAAATTTAACTACAGGCTTCTCCAATAAGCCAACAGCCTTGCGTACCTTCTCCTCATCAGCAAACCATTCATCATGTACTTTACTCACACTCCTATGAGTCCAAAAATAAACATATTCATTCACAACATCCAGACACCAAAATGCATCATAGCTGAGAGATTATAAACAATAACCAGACTAACAAAACAAAGATCATATACAATATAAGTGGACAAGATAATTTGACTTTGTCTTTACACAGCAGAAGTTACAGATCTATCAAGTATACACCCTCTTCTTAAGAATTAAAAATGTTGAAAATCTTCAAGGGAAAAAAATAATGGTTTTAATAGAAGTATCTCACCAATTATAGTAACGGAGCAAGATGCTGGCTTCAACTTTTGAAATGGAAAGCACAGTAGATATCCTCATGATGTCATCATCTTGCTGCTGATGAATATCTGCTTCGCTTAAAATTGTACAATTTTGCTAAGACAAGAAGAGAGACATATTTAGGACAGATTACTCTAAAAAATGAAGCAAAACAGGGGCTCAACTTCTATACATGAATGCTTCACTGCTTGAGCAATATCATAAACTTCTATTGCTTGTAGTTTTTAATCAATCCAACAGAGAAAAAAAATGTAATAATAAATAAAATCTGAATCTAGCTTTACAAAGCAGTCAACGAATCGAAGAGCAAAAAAACAGATCCTAAGTATATTCATGTAAGAAGTACTAAAAAAGCAGTCTACAAACAGCAGAAAAAACCCATGGCTGTTATCCAGACACTCTGTAAGAAGTTAATGGCATTAACCACAGCTGAAGATGGCACTTTTTCACTGTAGCTTCAACACCTTTGTATTTTGCCAATATGTTTATAGGTCACCAAACTTGTATTCAATAAATAAGTCAACCAATTTTGAATATCAGCCTCTAAAAAAACAGCCTTTTCCTTCAGTAAAACATGTGGGAAACTCATTTATAGATTGGTCCAAAAAAGCATCATATAGTCATGCCTTGCATCCATCCAAGAAAAAACAGATTCAGTTTGAAACCTTGTTATCTAAAAAGCAGCAGCATTTTGTCTTAGAACTCTTATATCTCAATTTGAGAAATAAAGAGATGGATATTAAAATGGTTTAACAAAAACAAGCAGTACACCATAAGTTTAAGTTTAGGTAAAGTACAAAATGACCCAACCAAAGCCAAAATGAGACAGAACTAGCTTTACAAAGGCTGTCCTAACCTAATTTAAGATCTTACTTGGGCATTGATGTTGCATTACTCCCTCAGCCACCTCTCCTGTTCACAAGACATACAAATATTTCTTCCTATAGGTCAATATTTATCATGGTTATCCAGTTTATGACTATATGGTTGCCTACACTTTCATAGTTGATGTATCACCATTGGGCTCCATTCAATCAAGAATATTGTCTTGTTAACATGTCAAAATAACTCCCACATTCCTTAGGCCCAATTTCAACATTAGTACACAGAAATTACAATCCTAATAATCAATGCCAACTAAATGCCAGTAGTTAAAGATTAAGGCAATCTTATTGGAAAAGTGAATGCTTAATTCAATATTAAGTTCGTATTTTCCTGATAAGCACCTTTTTCAACTTTATTCTCAAGAGAAAACAAAACTCAGGCATTCAAACAATTAAACAAGACCAACATCATCCAACCGTAACCATCCTTCACTAACGATGATTCATTACAATTAAACAGTTTCCAAATTCTGAGAAAGAAGTAAAAATGATATACATTGATAATCATGCTTCCATAAAACGCATCCTACAGCATATATCACCCAATTCAAAAAAGCAAGGTAATTTCATTTAACCAAACACACAAGCACAAAAAAGGTCTAATTCTAAGAAACTCAGAAAGAATTACATGGCATATAAACAACCATACTTAACTAAAACTAACCCAGACCACAAAATCCAAAATTGTTCCTAAAAGATTAAAACAAAATGCATGGAAGAAGCCGAAAATGAAGCAATACATAACTCATGCATTAAAAAACATCCCTTTCTGGCGGTTACCATGACATCAAAACACAAAAACTCAAAATTTACAAAAGTCCTACCCACACACGCCCGCATGAAGAGAACGACCAGTAGGTACCTGGTGACGGTGAGAGACGAGGATATCGGAATCATCAGAATCGTTATCGATGAACTCGTAATCGGCCAAATCAGCATCGGAGTCATCATAAAGTGCCAAGGCGGCAGCCTCATCGTCGCCACCGCTGTAGAAGTCGTCGTCACCGGATTCGTTGTTGGCATCTTGCATATCGATATCGTCCTCCGATTCCATTTCCAGTTATTGAATCAACCGCCAAATCAATCAAAACAATCAAATTGAAAAACCCTAGGGAAGAATCCAAAGACGACGATCCAATGATGAATCAGGTACAGAATTTTCGC